GAGATGAGGTCTCACTGCCCAGGTGGGTCTCGAATCCACGGGCTCAGGCAATCCACTCACCTCAGCCTCCCAAAGGCACGGGATTATAGACTGAGCCACAGAGCTCAGCTCCTAACCATTCTTAATAGTAACAATAAAAGTAAATAATACCAAGCAATCCTTTTGAGCACTTGCAAGATGCCAGGACCTGTGCCAAATGCTTTACACACATCCCACAATCAGAGACGTCAGGTCCACGAGCTACACAATCATGGTGTTCTGTGCTCACCCTGACTATACTCTGCTGAAATCACTCCTGTATGTCGCTCTAAACCTACTTCTCCTATAATGTGTGAATAACCAGCTGATAAATATAAGAAAATAGGAGCAACCTCTTTAGAGATTTTTTAAACACACACTGAAACAACAAGATACCTGTTCTTGGTCTTTTGATTGGTGGTTTCTATGTTAACTGTCAGTGTGTAGGGAGTAAGTACCAGTGTACCCAGCTGGTGGGATTCTCTACCAGGACAATTATTTTGAAAAGAAACCTGACAAAGTCTACCAGAGTCTTCAAACTACTTATATCCTTTTGCAAATTAAAAGTTGTTGGGGGAGGGTGTATGAAAACAAATTGCGTGCCTATAATATATCTGTCTGTGTCTTTTGACCTAGTAAATACACATATCTGGGAATTCAGTCTAAAAGGAAAAATCCCTTAAACACAAAGTAGAATTTGTGTCCACAGACATTCAATTTCTAATATGAAATAGCAAATTACTAGAAACAATCTACATGTTCAACAATAGAGAGGCAGTTAAATTCCAGCACATTCATAAGATAGAATAAGATGCTATGACTAATGGTAATTAGAAAAAACAGGATACAAAATTGTACTACAGGCCAGGTACGGTGGCTCACACCTATAATCCCAGCACTTTCGGAGGTCAAGGTGAGAGGAATGCCTGAGCCCATGAGTTCAAGACCAGCCTGTGCAACTTGGTGAGACCTTATCTCTACAATAAATCAAAAAATTAGCCAGGTGTGGTGGGGCGTGCCTGTAGTTTCAGCTACTTGGAAGGCTGAGGTGGAAGGATCACCTGAGCCCAGCAGGTTGAGGCTGCGGTAGCTGTGAGCGTGCCACTGCACTCCAGCCTGGATGACAGAGTGAGACTCCAACTCAAAAAAAAAGAGAGAAAGAATATACTACAGTAGAGGTGTGTGCATCCACATGTTCATACACACAAACAAAGAAGGAGCAACTCCAAAATGTTATTTAACTGTACCTGTTTTAAAGTGACAGGATTAGGTATAATTTCTCTGTTTTCTAAATGTTAGGGTAATGCTATGAGTTAATTAAATATTAGAGAAAAAAAACCCACAAAATATATTTGATGGGTTTTTTCTCCTCTTCTGATTTATGGGCTCCTAGAGAGCAGAAGTTGTGCTCAGCCACCACTCTGCTAGAAAATGCTGGGGACAATATAAGCATTTCTGGATGGTTTGTGCCTTATTTCTAATCAAAGAAAAAGCACACACATTCCCAGAGAACAGCAGGCTCCAATCTTTGTTATCCCACCCTCAACCCTAACTCCCTCTACTCCCTCAGCTCAAGATTATAGTGGGAACACCATCTTCCCCATCCCATTCCAGGGGAAGATGGGGAATTGTGCTACAAAGGACAAAGCTATTCATGGAGAACGTCAAATCGAAGTGCAATATGACAAATGACTCAAATCTGAATCAGTTGGTATTAACATCTTAGAGTGGGAAGAGGGAAAAGCCTCTGTTCAATGGGACATTTAACAGATTTTTTTAAAGGGCAAATGAACAAACAAAACCCATCATTTATATCGTGAAGAATGGGCTGCTTATTAAAAATGCTGCCTTGGAGGAAGCAAACCAGGAGATCAGTTGCTCTCTAAATGGATCACCGCTACTCTTGGTTTTTAACATTAACTAGAGACTAGGAGGCTAAAGATCAATAATATTCTCTTTCTCAAAGACAGCAGATGGCCAGAGCATAGCATAAATACCTTTGAGCATTTCCCACTTTGAAGGTAGGAGGAGACAACTTAAAGCTGACAAATTTTTCCCAAGAAACAATGTGACAATGAATGAAGATCTCCATTGACCTAGTGCTTCTGGCTGAGTTCAAGAAAACCCCAACCAGGAAGATGCCAGTTTTGTACTCAAGGGACCCAAGTACAAAAGGTCTTACTCCCATGCTTTATGGTGACAGCAGCTCTGGTCTTCTGAAGAAATACTAATACACGTGTGAAGTAAGGTCTTCCTATGGGAAAGAAAGGCCGAGGCAGGGGCCCATAGGAGGAAACAAAATGCTCTTTCTCATCATCACAACTTCAGGGTCCTCCCATTGTGCAGCACAGCTCCCAAACAGACCGTGGAAGACAACAGATCACAAAGATCAGCACTAAGACCCAGAAGTTAACAAGGTGAATAGGGCTTTCTTCCTTTTATCCCAAGTGGGGTGCACGTGCATATGTTTGTGTTTCAATGCTAATAGATCCATTAAGGCTGCACTGACCCTACGCAAATTATCTGGGTGGTTTGGCAACTCTCCCGATCCCTCTGAGATCACATCACTCATCCAGATGTGCCATCTGCAGCATGTTTCTAGGACTAGAAACAGTCAAGAGCATCACAATATATTGAATGTGTCCATGGTGACATGACCCAAACTTGACAAAGCCTACAGACAGACCTGCTAGTGGGAACCTCAAAACCCAGTCCACAGCAAAGGAAATTTTAATGAGAGACCTCCCCAGGACAGATGAGAAATCTTTTGGGTTGTTATATTTTTTCAGTTAGCTTGTTTCTTCTTACCTCTGTTTGTTCTGTAGACGCAAGTCTGTCATTTCCCTGGAAACCCATGCAGGAGAGATCAAAAATGGTTTTCTTCAGATGCTGGTTGTCTGTGTACAGTTCCTTCACTAGCTGTATAAGGTCATTGACCTAGGAGATAAGAGCAGGGAGAATACTGACTACCCAGCAGCAGACTTCCACTTTCCAGGGCTACACTCCTAGGCAGAGATCTTCCTATTGAGGAGATTCTTCAGCACTGTTATGAAGAATCAGGCTGCCTGATCAGGACATCCTGAGTACAGTGACAGAAGCACTGGCTTTAACATTGGGCAGGCCAGTATTCTAATCTCAGAGCCATCACTTCGAGGCAAAGATCCTGGACAAACTGTCTAAATCTAAGCCTCAGTTTTCTCATCTGTAGAATGGGTTACTGTGAGAGCTGAACATGATCATAGTACAGTGAACCAAAGTTCTTGGTACAGTCTAAGTGCTCTGTTAATGACAGCTAGTACTACTTCTGTCCTGTACTTGAGACCCTCTGGAGGAAAAGTTGCCCAATGCCAACATTTCTGAAACTGTCAGAGCCTTATTTTTACACCATCAACCTCCTTCTTTTTATACTTATCTAGCAATTCCATTAATAATAACAGTTGTCAATTATAAGTAATTTACAGCCACTAAAATACTCCTACAAGCTTTAGTCGATCATTCCTTGCAAATATCCTGAGGAAGTGGAGAAGCTAGTGTGTCTGTCCCCATTTTACAATGAGGAACCTGAGATACAAAGAAGTTAATTGCCCAAGGTGCCATAGCTGGGGGTGGATGGAGAACTAAAGGAGACATAACAATGGACAAATCACAGGGAAAGAGCAGCTGCCTCTACAGAGGCAGAACCAGGTCAGGGTCTCACAAGGCCAGATACTCAAGCAACTGAGCAGACACCACCTTTGTTTCCAGCAAGCTGTGAATTCCAGTGGTCAGTAATTTTCCAAAGACTTCCTGATGGGTACAATCATTAGCTCCTCAAATAAGGTGGAAAATCCCACTCTGACAATACATAACAGATGTTCAATACATCTACTATGAGTAAAAACTGGATCCAATCCTCAAGGAGGTTATAGTAGGAGGAACAAGACATTCTGAGTCTACAAATATATATTAAGTGCTGACCAAGTAAACTACCTCCTGCCCTTACCACAGCCACAAGAGGTGCTAGCAGCAGCTATAGTCATTCCAATTTTCCTCATCTTTAAACACTAATACTGCCTCAATGTTCCTTGTGCTACTCCTCCCAAAATACCCAAATTTTTATAGTCTTCCTTGCTGTTTATTAGTTCTGTGCCTTACACAGGCTGTTTTCTCTCTGCTGAGAAAAATCCTCCACCTGGACAAACTACAAATTCAGTCTTCAAAATCCACTTCAAGCCTCATTTCTGTTGAGAAGTCTCCCCTGATTAACTGGCACCTCCCCCCTCACCAGGCAACTAATCACTCCTTCTCTGCTATCTCTATACCTTGTACAGCTTCCAGACAGCAACCTTTGCATGCCATGCTGCAATTACTTGTTTACATGCCTGTCTCCTCTATCACTATGTAAATTATTCTAAGACAGAAACTGAATCTGTCACACATGTATGATAACTTTATAATAAATCATACAGTCTCCTCTGTGCTCATACTTCCCACTCTTTTTTTCTTTTTCTTTTTTTTTAGTTGGAGTCTCACTCTGACGCCCAGACTGGAGTGCAGTGGCATGCTCCCAGCCACCGCAGCCTCGACCTGCTGGGCTCCTCCAGCGATCCTTCCACCTCAGCCTTCCAAGTAGCTGAACTACAGGCGCGCGCTACCACACCCGGCTAATTTTTTGATTTATTGTAGAGATGAGGTCTCGCCAAGTTGCCCAAGCGGGTCTTGAACCCACGGGCTCAGGCAATCCACTCACCTCTGCCTCCCAAAGCGCAGGATTACAGGCTGAGCCACTGAGCCCAGCTATACTTCCCATTCTTCACCATGGTTCCTAGAACCTTGAAATACTAAACCACTCTAACCATGCTATTGATCAGATTGAAAAATCATTCCAGTTTTTTAAAAAATTTACTGACAAAACTTGGAATTTTACTCATTTAAAAAGCATCTATTACCTCCTACTATGTGTGCCAGGTACTGGGAAATCAGCATTAGGTAAGACACAATCGCTAAGTGTAAGATGTTCACACCTAGCACGGGGTACAGACAAATAACCAGATAATTATAGGTATGACAGGGACAACAATTTGGATTAGGTAGGAGAAAAAAGGTGAATGACCTGAGGGCAAGGTGTCTAACCCTAGTCAAGGGGCCAGAGAGCTGGGTTCTCAGACCAGAGGAACATCTCAGACACAGGGGAATATATTCCAAGTAATACAGGACACAGGAGGGGCACAGACAGCAAGACAGAGAGGAGAGGGGAGGAAAGAGAGGAGAGGCACTTTCAGAATCTTACACTTCTGATCAGAAACCCAAGAGACAACAAACAACCTAGAAAAAAGGCACCAAAAGTTAATAGGTCAATACCTTTTTCTTAAGCTCTTCTTGAGAAAAATGTTCCACTTGAAACCGATTGTGCTCTTCAAGGCAAATACTTAGATAAGATGTTTGATCACTATAAAATGAAAATGGTTCTTCTGCCCAAAAAAAAGAGAGGGAAAAATATCAGAAACAGAATCTTCCAAGACTGATCCCAGAGCAATCATCTAAAGCAATCTGAACTGGGGAGGTGGGGGTAGAAGGGAGCATAAGTACACAGAGGGGTTTAAAGCACAACCTCTAGAGCAAAGGTTATTTTCTCTTTCTCTACAAGCTGATATTCCAATGTATGGCTTCACCTTGGGCTGTAGGTTTTCACTGTGTCCAATTCTGAATTATAATTGCATATCAAGTGCTGTGCCTGGAGACCATCCTGAATGGCACAAGCAAATGGTGATTTCAGTTTAAATGAGGAAGTGATACTGTTTAGGCGGGAATAAGAAAAATTAGATGTGACCCTCAAGGGGAGAACTCAAGGGAAATAAAAGTGCCTGATCTATTTTTTTATTGACCCCAGACCCCTCACGGAAAGCAAGCTTTCTAGTAGCAGAAACTGCCAACTAGAGCTACAATAAAAGAATCCTGGCTCACCTACGTAAGGGTCTGCTTCCTTTGCAGCAACGGTCACATTCTAATAGGGAGTGAAGAAATGGGGGGGATGTTTATTGAGCGAGGCATAGCCACAAACAGTATCTCATTTAACCCATGTGGGTAAGAGCTGACACATCTAAAAATATAGTGCAAAATACTAGAAATAGCTAGACTTGAGATTCTGGCTCAAATCTGGGTAAATCAGACTCCTGAGCCTCAATTTCCTTCTGTAAAATAAAGTTAATACCTACTCTACCTAATGAGATGACTGTAAGGATCAGAGATGAAAAGGCAAGTGTCTAGCACCCAGTGTACATACTGGGTGTTCAAGATATGTCAAACCTACCACTGTTTTGGTTTTTTTCTGTTTCAGTCAGAGTCTCACTCTGTCATTCAGGCTAGAGTGCAGTGGCATGATCAAGACAATCACAGCTCACAGCAGCCTGTACTTCCTGGGCTCAGTTGATCCCTCCACCTCAGTCTAAGTAGCTGGTACTTCAGGTATGTGCCACCACATTTGGCTAATTTTCTTTGATTATTTTGTAAAGACAAGGTTTTGCTATGTTGCCTAGACTGGTCTGAACTCCTGGCCTCAAGCAATCTGTCTGTCTCAGTCTCCAAAAGTGCTGGGATTACATATGTAATCCACCATGCCTGGCCCCTACCAGTGTTATTACCTACCTTTACTGTGTCTGCCAGGTACCAGGCTAGAGATACACAGAGAATAAGACCCCAGCCCCAACCTTAAAGGGCTCAGGTTCTAGCAAGGGAAGGGGCCAGATATTACTGTGATGAGTACAGCAATACAAGTCTCACAGGACCCTTATGTTGTAGACATCCCTCCACCCCACCCCCACCCCTGCCTTAATGAATCTACAATGCTAAAAACAATGTATCAACCTGAAACAGCAGTCTCACCCACATGTCTGTGCAGTTCTGGGCTCTCTGCAGTGGTTGCTGTGATAGGCAGTACCCAGATGTTTGGAACAATGAAGGTTGTTTACCAAAAAAGGGGACTACAAGTCCCCAAGTTTATCTGAAGCTAGGAATATCAAATGGTATAGAAAAGAGCAGAGGTAGCAAGGAAGCAATCCTGCAAGAGACCCTCTGCAGAATTTAATACAGTTTACTGAACTCTTCTACAATGAAGGCCAAAACTAGATGTATACAGACTGAGAAAGCCAACATCAACATGGTCACCACGTAAAGGATCCCCAGACAAATCCTGTGGGTGCTTCATCTCTTACTGAAGTTTTAGGACTCTCTTAAAGTTAAGCCCATGCCGTCCAAGAGAAAAAACCAAACGGAAAAAAAAGAACCAAAGAGAAGAGAGTGTGTACCTTCCCGCCTCCGAATCTCGCTGATCTGCTCCTCCAGGGTCTTCTGCAAATTCCGATATGAGAGCACATCACATTCTAGTTGCTTCCGCAGGGCAGAAATATTGTTTAACTCAGCCTGCAGGTTGTTGATACTTGGTAAAACAAAACACCAGAAATTTTAAAACAGATCTATTTGTGCTTTCAGATGCAAAGCCCAGCAAGCCTTCTTGTGATTGTCATGTCATTTGTGTTTCTTTCTGGTTATAAAATACATGTTTATTATAGAAAATTTTAAATATAAAAGTATATAGAGGATAAAAATTACCATGCTTCTACTACTAATTAACACATGGCAGACTGTATTTCCTCTCAATCTTTTTCTCTGTATTTTGATAAGGTTGAAATAATAATAAATGTACAATACTGGACATATAATAATAATAATAATAGTGGACTAGAATGCACAATCCTCACTTGATTATCTCCCTACATGTTTGGAAATTATTTGCAAGCATCATTTTTAATAACTATATAATATCAAATCAAGGAAATGACCTACCATTTACTTAACCTCATACCCTCTTAGTGGATACTTGGGTCATTGCAACATTTTGCTACAAACATCACTAGGTAAAAATGATTTAATTCTCCAGAATGTTTCTCTGTTTGGAATAATGCCTTGAGAGGGCATGAGTATAGAAGGGGAGGCTCTCTAGACTTCAGAGGAGAGATAGAGGGCTTCTGCTGTGTTCCTCCTCAAAGAGGTTGCATCAAGACTAAGGGCAAGGGACAGGAGGAAAGAGAAAAAAATAGAAGAGTGAATCAACACTAAGAAGAAGAAAAGGACCAATTTAGAGACCAACAGAACTCCACTGTGGTGAGCTAGCCACTCAAAAATACATAGTATAAATGGATTTTTATTTTGGGAATGGAGGTGTCAAGTTTCTTTTCTGGGTCACCGTGATACAATGCTGAGCCGTACAGAGAGCTTGCATGGAACCAAAGCCCAGAACCCAGAGGAGACCATGAAAGTGCACACCTCCCAGAATCTGCATTAATCATGGAGAGCCCTCACCAACAGAACTTTCTTTGATGATGGAAATGTTCTATATTTGTACTGTCTACTACAGTAGCCACTAGCTAACCATGCCTATTGAGCATTTGAAATGTGGCTCATGTAGAAAGGAAGTGAATATTTAATTTTATTAAGTTTAAAGCAAGTTTGAATGTAAATAGCTTCATGGTTAGTGACTACTCTATTGTACAGTACAGATCCATAAGAAAGGCTTTGGACTTCTACTGACGTGCAACTGGCAGAGACCTGAACTACTTAAGCCCAGCTCTCAGAGAAACATGAAGACCCCAGTTGACATCCAAATAGTATAAGTAATGTTTCACTGTACATCTCTGTGCTTAAAGTCTTGCTTGACATTGCGGTTATTTTCTTAAGAAAGATTCCCAGCAGTGCAATAACCAGGTCAAAGTACATGAGCATATTTAAGACTACTGAAATACATTAACAAATCAGAAAGCCTCCTTTTCTAACCACTGAGTAATATATCACTCTCTGTCCAGCATCTGACCTGTGGTTCCCTAAGAAAGTCCATCAACACCTTGAAATTATCTGCAAAACTATATGAATATGTGAATTTTTCTAGGGGAAGGCCTATAAACTTTCATCAGATTTTTCAAAAGCAATCTATAGCCCCCAAATGGTTAGGAGCTATTGCTTATGTGCCAGACTCAAGCCCCACTTCTCTTTCAGAGATGTCTTCCAGCTCCATCCATCGAACTGCACACATAAATCAACATACATTGGAAAGAAAATAAACTATCATGTCTAATCTTCTATGCTTGCTGCTTTGAGGATGGTTCATTGTGAAACAGTCTTCGTGTAAGAGAAGGGACTCTACTAGCAACTTGTACCTAGTTCCATTTCAAGACAATCATAATGATCAATTTGTAAGGCTGATGGAAAAGCTTACAGAGGTGTCACAGCACAGCACTCGCTTGGATGCGGTCGTGCTGCAGAGACATTTAACCAGGAAAAAAAAAAAGGAGATCGTTTTAGTAAAGCTCCAGCGATTATGGCTGGGAACGCTAACTGCTTTACTCCCTCTTCCATCTTCTGACAGGGTGAAAAGTACACAGCTGCTGCTCCTGTGTCTGTCATTCATGTTTACCCAACTCCAGAATCTTTTCAAGGTATGAAGAGTTGGTAGAACAAAAGGTGCCTCACTCAGAAAGAAACAAAAACCCTGAACCTTCTTCTTTCTGAAATTGGGGCGGGGGTTGGCAGGCAGGCTGAGGCAGGAATGAGGAGTCAAAGAGAAACAAGTTCAAAATAGGATACCACCACTAATTAGCTCCATGACAATGGGCAAGTCAGTTAAACTTCCTAAATCCTGATTTCCTCACCTGTAAAATGGGGATAACAAAACCTTTACCTTGAGATTGTTTTAAAGTTTAAATGAGATGTTACATGGGAAAGACCTTAGCATAGAGCCTAACACAGATGCTCAACAAACATTGTTTCCTTCTTTCCATAGAGCCTAACAGTTCCCATGCAAAAGATACTATTTATGAGACATCATTTCTGATTTTCATAAGTTACAGCAAAAGGACACTTGGCATTATCTACAGACATTCTAGGTCATTATAGCTGGCATGGGAGGGGGTAGATATGCTACTGGCATCTAGGTAGAGGCCAAAGATTGCTAAATATCCTAAAATGGATAGGGCATGCCCTCATGACAAAATCCCAATACACTTAGGTGGGAAAACCCTGAATTACAGGGAAGTGCAAATTGTGCTAGTCCTCATATGGGGAGTGTATCAGCTAGAACCTAGGCTCAGGAGCCAAGTAGATAGATCTGAGCTCTGAGAGCCTTAACTGGAGTACCTAGGGTAACATGCATGCCCACTCCTGTTACACGAGGATAAAGTTACTGACTTCTAAGTGCTGTTTCAAAGAATAAAGGCCAAAAGTGAAAGGATCAGGCACATATTACCCACAAGGCATTTCCTTCCTCGCTGCTCTCCCTTTCCAGTTTGAAGCCCAGTATATCATATATCTCCAGGGTCATCCACCTTTCCTGCCGTTTCCAGAGAGTGAGCAGGGCTGGAGTTACAGAGGGGAGCTTCACCCACCTTGACCCACAACTCCACCCTCTGGATATGCCAAGGTCTGAGGATTCGAAAACCCCTATAAACTAAGTTTATTAATGAAGGAATATTGAGATGTACCTAAGTGTTCCATGGTATTGTTATTCTTTTAAAAAAAATTTTTGTCTTTTATTTTTTCTGTCTCTGCTGCTTGAGTCAAAGCATGTTGTTTTATTCTTAAGAAGTGCTATCATTTACTGAGAGCTTACTCTGGCGTTGTCAGGACTTTACATAGAATCATCTCTTATTTCAAAACAACCCTGTGAGGTAGATAGACAAGTAGGTAGGTAGGCAGGTAAGTAAACTGATAGGTAGGCTAAGTGATCTCAATTTTACAAACACACAGAAGCTCAGGGTGAGAAATGACTTATCTAAGAGCTCACAGTCACTGAGTGACAGAGCTGAGACTGGGACCCAGATCTGCCTCCCCCTAAATGTATTGCAAGTCTGAAGATGAACAGGAAATCTTTTAAGAATCCTTATTAGTCATAGTCCTGACCTGCCTCAGTCCCGCCCATATCTTTATTCAATAAGAAAGAGCCTGTGAAACTTGGAGCCATTCATGATGCTAAGGGGGCTTGAAAGTACCTATATACACCCATAGGACCTCTCAGTCCCCAGAATTTAACCTTGCTCCCACCTAAAGAAGCTGCACAACAGAAATAAAATTTGTCCATTATCTCTTTGAGTTTCTCCCCATGACTCAACCCATACACAAAGTGAAAACGACCAACAACTGAGGCTTCTTAAAAATGCTCACTTTTAAAGGTGATGCCTGCTCCCAGAATTTCAGCAGCATGTTTTCATCTTCTCTAAACTCATTTCTGACTTAAAATTCTGGAATGCATCTTATAATTTAGAAGATCAGCTGGGGGAGGTAGGGGGAGGCAATCCTGCACAGATCACAGGTCCTGGGGAACAAAGGAACTAAGATGGAACCCCGCCCTGAGGGAGCTCCTGGTGCAGGTGAGAAGAAGGCACAGACACAGGTGACTACATAAATGAACCCCCAACACAGGGCAGAAATGCAGAGGCAACTGTTCTGGGGATCAGTTGGGCTTCCTGACAAAGCTAACACTCAAGTTAAATTCTAAAGGACCAGTGGAGACAAAGTAGGGAAAAGGTAGAAACAGAGGGGTAGGAAACACAGGTGAGGGCAGAAGCAAGAACTACACAGCCCAGGGAACAATGAAAGGCTCACTAAGGCCAGAGCAAAGCGCAGGCGAGAGAGAGAAGGGAGGGGTAATGTTTTTAACTTTTTATTACGGAAAACTTCAGACATGTACAGAAGAAGACAAACTAGCGTGATGAACCCCTCCCAATCTACTCATACCCCACACCCAATCATCAGGGAGCCAGGGCCAATCTCATTCTTTCGATATCCCCCACTCACTTCCTCTGCCTCTGTCCTGTATTGAAATGAATCCCAGACATATCCTTCCAATTGTAACCATCCCAGTGTGCAGAAAGGTGATTTCTTATGTGAGAATTTCCTGAGGTCAATCCTGCATTTACCAATGTGCAAACAAGGCCAGGGCAGGCCATTCACCTGTGGACAGAGAGCTAGAAAGTGGGAGAGCTGGAGCTAGAACTCAACCACTGGCCTAGAATTGGCTCCTGCCCAATGCTCGCTGGTATTAAATCCTTTCAGCAATTCCGCAGAGACACAAGTTACTCCAAGACACGGAGGTTTGTTTGGGTCCCTGGATTCTGTCACTCAACACCTGTATGACTTTGGACAAGTTGCTTGGCTTTCATGGCCTTATGAAAACAGGGATAACATTATTACTTCCTTCACAGAACTGTGAGGATCATGAAATACTGCACATGGAAGCACTTTCTAAATGTATAATAAAGTATTTAAAAATCCGATCAATTATTATATTTTTATCCTAATTTTGTTGCCAAATATCAGATAATTCTTGATAGGAAACAGAAATATGTGACATTAAATAGGGCAATCATCAGCTGAGTATTTTATAAGCTTCCTAAGCAAACTGGAAGAGCTTTGATGCCTCAGAGATCACCAGCATTCATTCAAGGTGCGTGTGTGTGTGTGTGTGTGTGTGTGTGTGTGTGTGTGTGAGTGTGTTCACACTCACATGTGTAATGTCCTTACCTGCCTGATTCCTGAAGAGTTTTTACCAGATGGGTATAGATGTCCTGCTCTTTCTTTAAGACCTGAATCAGCGCTTCATACTCTGATTGTTGCTTTTCCTGGAAATGACAAGGGGCATCTGACATTAAGGGAAGAATTTTTTGAAGTACATCCTTAGATTATGCAAACATATGTAGCTCATTCTGGTTCCAAAGGATGGTGAGGCCCTGTGCCATGCTCTGGCTCAGGCCGCAGTCAGAGAGCACCACCTTCAGGAGGAGTGGGGAATGGCTGCCCGTCACCCACCTCAGATCAAAGCTGAGAGCTGAGTTTCCCATACTGAACAGTTGCTAGGAAAGACTCATCACAGTTATCCGATTTGCCCATTGTGAAACTGTCCCCCCTCAGAGCTGCAGGTCATCGTTTTCACAACACTACAAAGAAAGTTATTCCACACTTGCTGTTGCTCCAAAGAAGACAAATTTACCAATCAAAACCTGACAAGTACTGGGGACAAGGGATTAGGACAGTAAAGAAGAGGTTAAGTGAGGCATTCTTGGGAGGCATCCAGAACACTGTGATGATGAAGAGACCCAAACTGGATCTCTGACACTTACTAGCAGGGTGATCTTGGGCAAGTAACTGAACAGACTTCTCTGAAGTTCAGTCTCTTCATTTATGAAATGGGGATGTATTTTTATGAATTACTATTCACAAATGTGACTGATAGAGTGTCATCCAATGTACACAAGTCAGTTTATAAAAGTTCGAATCTGACTGACTCTGCCACTTAACAGTTCTAGGACTTTGGGAAGTGACTTACTAGGAGACTTGGGAGTCAGTCCCACCTGTAAAGATGGTGGACAACAGCCACCACCCTATGGAGTTATGGAACAGATAAAAGATAAATTGGGTACTGTAAGGAAGCAGGGATACATGAGAAATGGATGATTTCAGCATTGGGACAAGGAAAATCAAGGACAACTGAAGATGTGTCTGTAACATTTTGTTATGCCAGAAAATAAGGAAATACTTAAAGATTAGACCAGTGATTGCCAGGGGCTGCTGGGGATATGGAAGATGTTGGTCAAAGAGAACAGCATTTCAGTTATGCATAGAGACTATAGTCAACAATGTTGCATTATATACTTGAAATTTGCCAAGAGAGTAGATCTTAAGTTTTTTCATCACAAAAAAATGGTAACAATATGAGGTACCATATAAATTAGCTTGATTATGATGATCATTTCACAATATACATGTGCGTCAAAACATCAAGTTGCATACCTTAAATATATGAAGTTTTAATTTGTCAATTATAGCTCAATAAAGCTGGAAAAAATGAATTTTTTTAAAGGTCAATGCTTAAGTAATGAGTATTGTCAAAAGGAAACAGAAGCCAGTTTGAAAAGGCTCCCACAAGCCAAATCTGTGACAATTTGGGCATCAAAATAAATAATGATAGCAATGGGTTGTAACTCACTGATAGTAATAGACTATAAGCCACCAAATAAAATATGAATTCATGAATCAACACTAATATGAATAAATAAATGAATTAATAAATAGGAAGGAAAACAGGCTTTTCTTAATAATAAAATGACAACTAATAAATGCAGAAGGAAAGATGGGATTAGAAACATCACCCTCTTCCAACCATCATAATAATTAATTTGACTAAGAAATATAAAAAGATATGAAAATACAGTGGGTAAAAGTTTGAAAATCAGGATATTTAAGAACTCAAAGCACCTCCCATAAAATACTTATTAAAAAGGAAAAAAGCATAACTAGACAGTCAAGACACCTGGCAGATACCACCTTCATCAAGTTATCAAAGTTGGCAGGGCTAGGATAAACCAAATCTTTTACCATCAGCTAGGGGGACACAATAAGAAGAATACAGCATTGCTACCGTGATATTCCTGCCAAAGATGCATAGACTGAATCTAATCACCAAGAAAACACCAGACAATACAAACTGAAGAACATTCTACAACATAACTGGCCTGGACACTTCAAAAGTATCAAGGTAAGATTCAGGAACCATTCCCAACTAAAGACTACAAGATCAAGACCATTAAACACAAGGCATGAACCTGACTAGGATCCTTTTGCTACAAAGGGTTATTGAAACAACTGATGAAATACTAACAAGTCTGAAGATTAGAAGATGGTGATGAAGGAAATGAGTCCAGGCTAATTCCCTGGTTGCAGTGGCTGGATTGAGGTCATACAGGAAAATGTCCTTGTTTATAGGAAACATGCACTAAATATTCAAAGGGGATAGGGCACTGGCAGTGTTGGCTCAGGAAAAAATAAAATCCTTTTTACTCCTGTAACTTTTCTGTAAATTTGAAATTTTTGCAAAATAAGAAGAATATTAAAATTAATGTGTACAGAATACCTACCACAGTGCCTGGTACCAGGCAGGTGCTCTCTAACTGTTGGAGGGGGATATTCAGTTAATAGAGAAACCAGGGCTGCAAACAGCCTTCGTAGCCCACAGTAACTTATGTTTTCTCCTAAAGCTAAGATACCACATAGGACAGGGGTTTTTTAAATGATTAAAATTTTGAGGCTGTGTGAATGTGAACAGGAAAAAAAAAATTACAGTTTTATTTCAATGAACCTCTAACTGAAATTTAGTATTCCCTTCAATTGAATTGAAGGGAATACTGCTATTGCTATAAACCATAGGACAAGTGATGTCATCATTACTATGACGTTGTCATCAAAAGAAATAGTTATTTTGTATATGTTGCAGATATCTCAAAATATTCATTCTTATCACTATTTCAAAACTACAGTAGTCACTGTACTCACCACTGTCTTATTATTTAACACATTAATAAGACGTACCACCCGGGCTCGGTGGCTCAGCCTGTAATCCCGCACCTTTGGGAGGCTGAGGTGAGTGGACTGCCTGAGCCCGCTGGTTCGAGACCTGCCTGGGAAACGTTGGCAAGCCCTCATCTCTACAATAAACCAAAATTAGCTGGGTGTGGTAGTACATGCCTGTAGTTCCAGCTACTTGGAAGGCTGAGGTGGAAGGATCGCCGGAGCCCAGCAGGTTGAGGCTGCGGTGGCCGGGAGTGGCCACTGCACTCCAGCCTGGGCAACAGAGTGAGACTCCAGCTCAAAAAAAAAAAAAAAAAAAGACGTACCATTTCTATAGCAAAATTTTTTTATATATTGATAACTGAATTTCAAAATACTTGGTTTCCTTTAGAATCCAGTAGATGTATTTTATGGATTTAAACAGTTTTCCAGGGAAGGAGTCTTTGGCAAAGAGATAGAAAGAGCAAAAGCAGTGATGAAACACTGATCTAGGAGGATAGTGCTATGTTTCTAACCCCGACAAAAAGAAACCAAAGGCACAACCTGCCAGTTAAAGATTTTAAATACTAAACCACCAGTTTGGTCATGATAAGTTAGTCATCTAGACAGCCAGAAATGTCAGGCCCTTCTGTAAACCATGCCACATGTCACTGGCACAAGGCACTCCCAGATGCCTTCTGTACAACAGCATTGTCACATGGGATTCTCCCAGCTCCCACCTGCACACACCCACGCATGCAGTCAGAGATTGCAGAAAACAGTGGGTGGGATTTCAACAGGACATGAAGACTGAGGTGACTATCAAAGCCTTGTGTATCAGCCACCATGCTAAGTGATTTCCAGGCATTTTCTCATTTAATCCTCACAACAACCCCATGTGCTTATGTTACCATGCTCCCCATTTCCATGGGGAAACTGGTTCAGAAGGCTGACATGCCCAAGGCTGGGGTGGTGAGGCTGGGCGCTCTTCAGTTCACCCATCACTGCCCCATAATGGATGCAAAACACTAGGCACTTGACATGTGTAACAATGTCACTGTCAGCCACACAAAGGTCAGCCAAAGAAAATAAGAAAAGCCAGTGGCAAAACATGAAAACCTACCGTTTCTTAAGCACCTACCAAGAGAGGCAGTGATGGTTAAGAGTGTGTTACCTATGAACTATGTGAACTTGAACAAACTACTCAACCTCTCTGTGCTTCAATATTCTCACCTATAAATGGAGATGATAAGCTTATATATCTCATAGCGTTGTTAAGAAGATTAAATAAGTTCATTTATACCAAGTTCTCAAAACGATGCCTGGTTCAGAGTAAACACTTGAAAAATGCCAGCTGTAACTACTGTTTCTGTGCTCCAAGTGCTATGCTAGTCACTTCCATATACTGTATCATCTCTAATTGTCACAACATTCCAGGGAAACATTTAATCTTCCCACTTTTCAGATGATGAAACTGATTCTGTTTGAGTTCACTCAGCTAATAACTGGTAAAGTCAGAATTTGTGCTTAAGTACAGAAATTCAAAGCCAACCAAGAAGGCCTAAGACAAAAGATCAACAAACATGGATTCTGATGAGTGGTACAGAACCTCCAGGGATGTATGTATGGGGAGCCCGTATCTTAACTGGATGTCCGCGGGCCGGACTCCAAGGCCAGAGGAGGGCAGCACACTGCCACACCATGGCCTGCCTGGATGCTGGCTCAGACCCCTCTCCTCTTCCTTCTGGTAATGATCCCAAAGTTTCTCCAGGTTTTTCAGACCACCACTCTCAGCTCCTGCCCACCCAGCTCAGTGGAACTGGGAACTCCCTGCATCTGAACCCCCAGGGACCCTCCCCTGTCTTTAGAGACCAAGTGCCATCATTTATCACTCTCCACCAACAGACTCCAGGGCACCTCACAGGACCTGTCAGGCCAGATCTCATCAGGAAACCTTCCCTGCCTGACAAAGCTGACCTCCCCCAGCCCCAGAGCAGTGCACCAGCCACCTGTTTACAGGGCTGAGGGCTCTCTGTGAGCAGCAGTATCCCGAGCCAGTCATGGTGTCTGGCACAAACCGAATGCTGCCACAAATACTGGCTGAACTGATGATTAAATAGGTAAGAGGGGAACACAGGGAGTGATATGAATCTTAAGAGTAGAGATTCCTGGGGATATTTTGCATAATGGAAGTCAGAGTGAGTCAATGTCTTCCTAGAAGCAAATTGCTTACCCATGTTAAATAAATGAACTCTTCGGAGCCATTTGGGTCCCATTTCATCAATCACCTATTCCCCTGCGTTGAATCATGCCCCATTAGAGTGAAGTCATTTGGCTCCCTCAGCAGAGTTGACAAACCAGTAGATCTCCTCAGCACAGAGGCAGAGGGCCAGGCTGTGGGGGGGGGGGGGTTATTACATGTATTATTTCACTTAATCCCTATGGTGACCCCTTGAGCTAAATTGTTGCATTATTATCTTCATTTTACAGATGAAGAAACAGACCTACAATGATTGAGTTGTGTGTGTAAGATCATGTAGCTAGTAAGGGACTGAGACAAAACTGGAAAACCCGTCATCCCGACTTTAGAGCCTGTATAATTTATAGCCTGTGATGAAGTTATTTGTCTCAAGGAGGCATCTGACTAAAGAAGAAACATCTTATTTCACCT